GGATCGCAACCCTCAGTGTCGCGCCCGTACCGGACCGGGTCTGTATGTGGGATCTGAACCCTCGGCGGGAGCGCCACCGCGCTTCCCAAGCGGCGCACTATAGCAGTGTGCCACTGGGCCAGCCCCAATATTTCATCTTTCTTATCTCACTTGTTTTAGGTGTCAAGTTTCTCTTCCTGAAAATAGTTCTCTTGTTCTTAAAATGAAATATGTTACAGTTTTTTCATTGGTCTGTGATCTCTTTAGTCTGTTCTCAGGAAATGGCATGCTCATATTTTGATCAGTCATCCACAATTTATTTTTAAAGTAGGAAAGGAGAAAAGGCATGGCTAATGTTTACTTTGAGTTTTAATACTGTTTCCCTGATGATGCTTTTATCCAGTCTATAAGTTCAAGGATTTTTAAATTCTTTCTACCTGACCCTCTTGAATTTGTGTTTAATCTTAACCAGTTGGGCAGGATTTCATGTTCTTTTAAGTATGCTTATTTTTTAATGAAACCAAATACTTTTTTCATGTATCTTTGTTGTTAATACCCATCTAGAATGAAATATTTTCTTAGAGATAAGAATAGTTGGCTACAGACATACATGTGGATTAAATTTTTCCTCTGGTTGATTTCTGTTGTTTCAGGTGGTGCTTCCTACGTTTATCCTAGAGAAGCGTTCCTTGCTGGAAATGTATGCAGACTTTATGTCTCATCCAGATCTATTTATAGCCATCACTAATGGAGCCACAGCCGAGGATAGAATGATTCGCTTTGTCGAGTACTACCTTACCTCATTTCATGAAGGCCGTAAGGGAGCCATTGCTAAGAAACCATACAATCCAATCATTGGAGAAATATTTCACTGTTCCTGGAGGATGCCGAAAAGTGAGGTAGCATCCAGTGTAATTAGCAGCTCTTCCACCCAGGTAGTCACAAATCATGCTCCTCTATCAGAGGAGTCTTTGAGCCAAGAGGGATCGGACTGTTATACAGTCAGATTTGTTGCTGAGCAGGTTTCCCATCATCCTCCAGTCTCAGGATTTTATGCAGAATGTGCAGAGAGGAAGATGTGTGTAAATGCTCATGTCTGGACTAAGAGCAAATTCTTAGGCATGTCAATAGGAGTGACAATGGTTGGAGAAGGTAAGTAGAAAAATTGCCCTCCAATGTTTAATTTCAGACTATAATCTTACATTTTGGGAAGTTAGATTAGTATTAATTATAAATTTGAAATATTATGGGTGCTTCTTTTTTGTTCCGATTCTTAGTGTCTTTCAGAATGCTTGTTGGGGACAGGTGGAGCCTATCTATGGACTAATGTAAAATCTATTTTTAGGGGGCCAGCCCGAGGCTTACTTGGGAGAGTGTGGTGCTAATAACACCAAGGCCACGGGTTCGGATACCTATATGGATGGCCGGTTAGCTCACTTCAGAGAGCGTGACAACACCAAGTCAAGGGTTAGGATCCCCTTATCAGTCATCTTAAAAAAAAAAAAAAAAGGTCTATTTTTAAATTATTTTTTTCTGATTTTAAATAGAAAATATTTTTATTGTCAAAAATTTGGAAAACTAGAAAGAAAAGTTTAAAGGAGAAAGTGAAAGCGTCTGTAATCCCTCCATCCAGAGATGGATTATTTTAGTTATATTTTGTATTTTTTCTGTACGTGTTTGTTCATACTTTTAGTTTTATAAAATTAGGATTAATTCTATAGATATAATTTTGTGTCCTGCTTTTTTTTTTTTTTACTAAATACATTCATTTTCCCATGTAATAGATAAAACATGTTTTAATGACTGCATAATATTCTGTGAAATGCATTTGCCATCTTTTATTTAACTATTTCCCTCTATTTGGACATTGAGGTTGTTTCCAAATTTTTATTATAATAAAAATCACAAGAATTATATTCTAGGTAAGTTTTTATCTACATCTCTTATATTTTTTAGGAGCTGTTAATAGAATATTTTTAAAACGCATTGCCAAACTTTAATTCTACTTCATCAAAAGGCTATAAAAAAATAAGTTGAGGAAATACATGTTTTTTGGCCAAGAATACAAAACAAAAATAAAAACCTCCACAGAAGGGCCGGCCCATGGCTCACTCGGGAGAGTGCGGTGCTGATAACACCAAGGCCCCGGGTTCGGATCCCATATAGGGATGGCCGGTTTGCTCACTGGCTGAGCGTGGTGCTGACAACACCAAGTCAAGGGTTAAGATCCCCTTACCGGTCATCTTTAAAAAGAAAAAAACAAAAACAAAAAAACCTCCACAGAAATCATTCAAGTATTAATGAAAATATGACAGAAAAAAACTATCATTTTAATGTTAAAGGAAAACTTGTGCAGAGAACAGTTTGTTCTGAATGTAAACTTACAATGTAAGCATGACATAATTGAGCCTGTGACGCAATATTTTGAGGTTGTATTATTGTAGTTGTGAAGAAAACATTTTAAGCCCTTTTTCAGTTTTCCCTGTTCTTAAGTTCTGTTGTGATATGTCTTACCAATTTCCAAATATTTCAAGTTAATTACAACTTTTATAACTTTAGAAAGTACTCATATTTTATTAGTTAAAAAAAAAGTTTACGGGCCGGCCCTGTGGCACACTCGGGAGAGTGCGGCGCTGGGAGTGCAGCGACGCTCCCACTGCGGGTTCGGATCCTATATAGGAATGGCCGGTGTGCTCACTGGCTGAGCGCGGTGTGGGCAACACCACACCAAGGGTTGCGATCCCCCTTACCGGTCACGAAAAATACAAAAAAAAAAAAAAAGTTTACCACCTTCATTTACAAGCTTCATAGCATTAGCCTTAGACTCTTCATAGATCAATTTATTTTATAGATGAAAAAGCTGAAGTCTAGAGGTGATGGGACATATATAGGGTCATAAAGGTTAAGGCATGACCAGATTTAGAACCTTTGTATTTGACACTATCTCCCCATGGACAGTTACTCATAACAGTTTATATAACAGAAGGAATCTGGTAATGGAAGCTTCTCCCACTCCGTGGAAGGAAATACCTCAGGAAATGAGGAAAAACATTGTTATCTTAATCATGCTTTAATCATGAAGGAGGTATATAGATAAGTTTTGATTAAGTGCCATTATATATTAATGCATTGCCTTTTGGAAATTAAGTTAAATTGGTACCCTCAACAGAAAGTAAATAAAGTCAGGGAATGGAATTTATGACAGTTCATTTTGCTCCTATTATCCATGTTTTGTTTTGTTTTGTTTTGCAGCTGCCCAGTACAGGGATCTGAACTCTTAATGTTGGTGTTAGCCATGTTTTTAATAGTAGGAGAAAATTCTGTTTCATTATTAGATAAATGAGATTTTAGAATTTTATGAATCTCATTTATCTTAGTCTGTCACATATATTCAAAACTGGTTGTATATTTGTTCAGATTTTAAATTCTAAAATAAGTTAAAAATAAAGAAAAAATTCAGAGACAGGTAGATTAGAGGTTGCCAGAAACTGGGGGGAGGGAATAATGGGAGGTTGTTGCTTGATAGGTGCAGAGTTTATGTTTAGGATGATGATGGGGTTTTGGAGATGGATAGAGGTGATGGTCACAGCACTGTGAGTATAATTGATTCCACCGAATTGTGTATTTAAAAATGGTTAAAATGGGAAACCTTATATATATTTTACTACAATAAAAAAATTCACAAGGGCCGGCCCATGGGTCACTTGGGGGAGTGTGGTGCTGATAACACCAAGGCCGCGAGTTCTGATCCCTATATAGGGATGGGGGGTTAGCTCACCTGGAAAAGTGTGGAGCTGACAACACCAAGTCAAGGGTTAAGATCCCCTTACCAGTCATCTTAAAAAAAAAAAAATTCACAGAGTGTGCTACTTACGCTAAATATATTCTTAGAAGTCAAAGATCATAAACCCAAGTTATAAGGTAACTTTTTTACAAATACTAAAAATACAGTATCTTTTCCAACTTCGAATTAATCAAGTTATTAGTAACACTTAAAATATACTCAAGTATGTTGTCTGTCTTTTTTTTGGCAGGGGTGGGGGGGCATCTGGCCAGTATGGGGATCCAAACCCTTGACCTTGGTGTTATCAGCACCACGCTCTCCTAAGAGAGTCAGGCTAGCTCTTCTGTCTTCTGACAGCCTCATTATGTATAAATATATTATAGCCAGAATCATGTCCCTTATGAAATGGCTTGATAATTTTTTGTTTATTGTTGCTCTTTATGAAGACTGTTGAGGGCAATATAAAGAAATAGTTGATCTTGCTTTGTATAGACGCTTTAGAATCTCAGTTTGTCTATTTGCGTATCCTAAAAATTAACTGTATTAAAATACTAATCATGACTCTTGCCCTTATTTAAGAAGAGTGCTTAATGAGCATTCAAGAGAGAGATTACATACAAGTTCTGACTAGTAGTACATATCCAGTTCAATATTTGGTCTGATGGTAATACATGTAGTAAGCAAGGTTAGTAATGTAGCTAAAGTATGCTTAGTGTCTCTTGATATCTAATATAGAGTGATTATTCACTAGTGTAATTCTCTTTTTATATGTTTTAAAATATTTTTAATATAGCTTTACTTAATATGGAACAAGCCTCATTAGAATAATATTTGTTTGAGGGCCAGCCTGTGGCTCACTTGGGAGAGTGTGGTGCTGATAACACCAAGGCCGCGGCAGGTTCGGATCCTATATATAGGGATGGCCGGTTAGCTCACTTGGGTGAGCGTGGTGCTGAAAACATCAAGTCAAGGGTTAAGATCCCCTTACTGGTCATCTTTAAAAAAAAAGAATATTTGTTTGAAAACTACCACTTATATGTCTTGTAGCTTCACCCTAAATATTTCAGAATTTGGCAAACGGAATTATGATGAACGTATTTTTTTTTTTAGAATTACATTTTTTATTCCTTAATATACATAGAATAGAATGAAGAACACTTTTTTTTCCCTATCATACTGTCTGAGATTAAGGTCTAAGACTTTATAACGTTGGGCATCAAGTTATTCCCAAACTGCTGAAAAAGTTGTACTAACCAGTGATCTAATTGTAACACAGTGCAGTATAACATGGCCTTAAACTCTGACTGTGGGGCTTATGTTATCTGTAGGAGCATTAGAGGGAAGTTTTTTTGTTTTTTGTTTTTAGAAGGAACTATAGAACTGTTTCTACTGTAACATTTACTGTGCCCATGCACCCCAAAGGGCTAGTAAGGTTATAGTGAAAAGTAACCCTGACTCACTGTTACCAGGAAATGTCAAACATGATGGCAAATGAAATCAATTTCACCCAAAGTTACATGTAGATTAAGCAAAATAATGATGTCTGTTTATTAGAAAGGGAAAAAATAATACGGATTTTTTTGTAGCTATTTATTTTAAAAGATGTTAACTGCCTTCATGTTTTCACATTCAGGTATTCTCAGTCTATTGGAGCATGGAGAAGAATATACATTTTCTCTACCTTGTGCGTATGCCCGGTCAATTTTGACTGTACCTTGGGTAGAATTGGGTGGCAAAGTCAGCGTCAACTGTGCAAAAACTGGGTATTCAGCCAGCATCACTTTTCATACTAAGCCATTTTATGGCGGCAAACTGCATCGGTAAGAACATTTTGATGGTATCTGACTTATTCTTCCACTTTGATTTTGTGTTATAACTCTATTCTTTTTCTGTTTTGTTTTATGTAGGTGGGGTTGGGATTTTTTTCATGTTTATTTTTGGTTTAATATATTTCATCTTTCAGGGTATTCTGAAAATTATGATTTCATTTTAAAAATAGTAACATTCTTAACATATCTTCTCTTGTAAAAATTTTCCTAATGAAGTAGCTAATGAGATGTAGAATAGAATTTCTAACAATTTCTGGCGCAATTCTGCCTTTAGTGGAATTCAGATTTAGATCAGACCTCAGTGGAGGTAGCTATTTCTGTAAGTTACAGTAGAAATATATCTAATCATTAGAAATAGTTCAAGAAGCACAGTGATGGAAGCCAATTTCTTTAGGCACCAATATTGAATGGTAGCTTTGTTCTAATTTCATTTAGGAATTGGCCAGTTATTGTACTCCTTTTTTGGCTTGTTTGTCTCTTCAGCACTAGTCCAGATCACCTAAACTATATGATGACAAGTTTTCATATACAACAAGAAATTTTAAACATTCACTTAAGGTGATATAACCAATAGATCCCAATGGACATATATAATAACAAATGTGAAGAAATGGAAGATCTATATAATTTAAACATCAGTGAGAAATGGTCAGGAAAAGAAGATAGGTGTGATTAAATGATAGAAACACTTTGAGTTAGTTTATTTATACTTTCCCAGGTTACTCTACACAGTCTTTTTACACTAAAAGTAACTCTATTCTTTATGACAAGTTTTCTAAAGGATTCTCAAAAGGATACTGACTCTAGGGCCGGCCCGGTGGCGCACTGCTACAGTGCGCCGCTTGGGAAGCACAGCAGTGCTCCCGCCGAGGGTTCGGATCCCACATACAGACCGGCTGCTCACTGGCTGAGCGAGGAGCGGGGGCAACACCGAGGGTTGCGATCCCGTTGCCGGTCCCGGTCCGGTACGGGCGCGACACTGAGGGTTGCGATCCGTTGCCGGTCACGAAAAAAGACAAAAAGACCAAAAAAAAAAAAAAGGATACTGACTCTAGCCTGACTGTCCCTGAAGTACATGGATAGTTTTCATTTCATTTTCATGGATAGCTTTCATAAACTTTTTATTGAAGAATAACATATTTTAAAAGTATGCAAATTGATGAATTTTCACAAAGTGAAAATTTGAATACCTTTATTTCTTTATTTATTTATTTGTCTTTATTTTTTAAAAGATGACTGGTAAGGGGATCTTAACCCTTGGCTTGGTGTTGTTAGCACCACGCTCAGCCAGTGAGCAAACTGGACATCCCTGTATAGGATCCGAACCAATGGCCTTGGTGTTATCAGCACCACACTGTCCTGAGTGAGCCACAGGCCAGCCCTAAATACCTTCATTTAGATTTGGAACATTACCAGCATCCCAGAGGCCCCCGCTTCATGCCCTATTACAGTTTCGCTCTCTGGCTCTCTTGCTTTCTCTCTCACACACACATACTTAGGTTGGCAACTTGTACTACTCCTACTTTGGGTAACCACTATTCTGATTTCTGACACCATAGATTTGTTCTGCCTATTTTTGAACTCCATATAAATGAAATCATATGCTGTGTTCTCTTTCATATCTAACTTTTGGTCAACATTTTGTTTTGAGATTCTTTCGTAGTAATCACAGGATTCAAGAAGGGACTTTAGAAGTCACAAGACCAATATTTAGTTACTGGTTAACTTCTTAGGTTTGAATTCTTAGATTTGAGCTTTTAGAGCTGCACACAATTGATAACCCTTTGGGAGCTAGGATAGCCCTTCAGATGTTTGAACTCTTTTCTCTTCTGAGTTTATCATCTTTTTTTTTTTTTTTTTAAAGATGACCGGTAAGGGGATCTTAACCCTTGACTTGGTGTTGTCAGCACCACGCTCAGCCAGTGAGCAAACCGGCCATCCCTATGTGGGATCCGAACCCGGGGCCTTGGTGTTATCAGCACCGCACTCTCCCGAGTGAGCCACGGGCCGGCCCATGAGTTTATCATCTTCATTTTGTTCAGCAATCACTCTTAATGACATGAAGAACCAAGATGGTGGTTTTGGTGTTAGTATATTCTACTCAATGCCAGATAGTTGATATAACTGAAATGAAAATCCTAGAGCCACACACAGGTGGGAGCAAACCAGTAGATGACAGCATTGGTACCAGCTGTTATGCAGTGGAGATCAGCCAGGAAGGAGATGTTGAGGCTTGCAAACACCAACATACACAGAAAGGTTTTTTTGGAATATTTAATTGTATCTAAACTGTAAAAATTTAACACAAGTTCATGGTAATTTTTTTCACTTTCATATTAAGTACGTTAATCCATATTCTTATTAAGTTCTTGCCATTTGAAAATATCTTTTAACCCTGATGTAAGAATACAACGTACTGTTTTGTGGCAGCTATTGTTCAGAGGTATTTTTTTCTTGTTGCCAGTCTTTGTGAAAATAGAAAATAGACTGTAAAGGAGCCTGAGAAGTGGTGAAAATATTCTAAAACTAGATATTGGTGGTAGTTTTATCAACACTAATTTACATTTACATGTACATTTATCAACACTAATCAATCTGTACACTTAAAATGGGTGTGTTTCATTATATGTAAATTATATCACAATAAACCTGAATCACAGTAGAAGAAATAGAAAGTGAGTAACTGATCAGCTGTTTGAAATATTCAAAGAAATAATGGTCATTATACTCAGTAAAATAGTCTATGCTTTTTGAATATACAAATAACAATGATTTAGATTTTTCATCAGAAATATTTGCTGCATATCTATTTTTATTTACTGATCTAATTTTCATCTTTTCATTAATATCTTATGGCAGATGTCTGTATTAGTTGCCTAAGTATGTACTAAAGGGGTCTTTATAGAGTTTTTCTAATATGAATTTTCTGATGTTTAATAAAGAGTTCCACCTAAAGGCTTTTCCTTATTGATTCTATGTATATATATCTCTCGAGGGAGAGGTCTTTAATGAATAGTTACTCAAGATTTTCTTTTCTTTTTTTTCTTTTTTTTTTTTTTAAAGATGACCGGTAAGGGGATCTCAACCCTTGGCTTGGTGTTGTCAGCACCATGCTCAGCCAGTGAGCAAACCGGCCATCCCTATATGGGATCCGAACCCGCAGCCTTGGTGTTATCAGCACCGCACTCTACCGAGTGAGCCACGGGCCGGCCCGTTACTCAAGATTTTCTGTATTCATTATATTCAAAGTGCTATTCTTCAGTGTGAATTATCATATGCTTTGCAAGTGTGGCTCTATGAATAAAGGATTTTCTGCATTCATGTCTTTCGGCTGTGTCTGCAGTAGGAATTCTCTGGTGGTGTAAAAGGAAGAGCTCTGGCTGAGGACTTGTCCACATTTACTTCATTTACAGGGTTTTTCTTCAGTGTGAATCTTCTGGTGTTATCTAAGGTCAAATTGACTAAAGGCCACAGAGATCACATTTATATAGTTTCTGTCCAATTTGAAGTCTTTCACATTATTTATAGAGAGTTTCCCTTCATAATGGCTTTTCTCCAGTATATTTTCTCTTGTGCCATTTAAGGTATGAATGATTAATAAAGGCTTTTCCACAGGGTTTTTCCTCCAGTGTGAGTTCTACCATGTCCATAAGTGGTAAATAATGACTATAGAATTGTTCAGAATCATTATTCATCATAAGGTTTTTCTTCTCTGCAAAATTTCTTGGGTTGATTAAGAGAGAAAAATCTTTAAGGATTTCCCACATTTATTCCATCCATATGTTATCACATGTTGAGCCGATGTTGAGCTGTGAGCAGAAACTCCCATATTCATTTAAAAAAAAAAAAGAAACTCCCATATTCATTACTATTCAAAGGGTTCCCTTCCAATATTAAATTTTTGCTAGGAAGGAAATAAAGAGGCTATTAAAGGCTTGCTTACATATATTCATTTGTATTTGTTCATATGAATTCTCTGATATTATTCAATTAAAACCATATTCCACTTTTAGTACACATAATGTTACTTTTCTTGCAAATTCAGAAGAATTTTTTGTAACAGCTCAACTACGTAGTTATTCTGATTAATTTTTAAGTCTTAATTATATTTTAAACACTTGATATATTGATTACATTTATACAAAAACCCCTTTATAAGAACTCAGGTTATAGTTTTGAGCTCAGGATAATTTTTTTCCCCAAATGCAAAGTATCCAAAGCTTTTTCCTGAGTCATTGCTTTATCTTGCCTTAAATTATAATAGCAAATATGAATTATAAGAATTTAATTTATTATATTTTCAGGACTACCTAAGTGTGGAGAATCAGAATTCATCCCACCAAATCTTAGTATTGCTATGACATTAGATAGTTCCTTCCTGCCATATCCTGCATAGAAATTTTCTCTTAGTTTTTAAGTCCCTCTTTAGCTGCAAGTGAAGGAGGGAGTGGGGGTAGGTGGTGAGGTGAAATTAGAAGTTGGGAGACCAGTTAGGCATTTGGAATAGACACACTTTAAGCAGTTACTGACAGGAATTTAGAGGGGTGAAGTGGCATCTGTAGTAACTTTGGTTGATGTCCTGGTTATCTACTGCTGGTAATAAACCTCTCTAAAACTGAAGACTTCCTGCATACATTATATTCAAAGTGCTATTCTCCAGTGCTTAAAAGAGCAATTAATTATTATCTCTTATAGTTATGTGGGTTGACTGGGCTCAGTTGAGTGATTCTCACTAGTTGTCTTTCATGTGGTTATAGTCAGATGTTGGTTGGGGCTTCATTCATCTACAGGCTAAACCCAGCTGGATGTCCAAGATAGCTTATTTATATAGGAGGTACTTGATCTGGTTGTTGGCCAGGGGCTCACCTGGGCCTATCTCAGAGGACCTACATGTTGGTTTCCCATGTGACTTGGGCTTTTTCCATTTTTGCAGCTGAATTTCTAGAGGCTCCATCCAAAAGCAAGCATTTTAAAAAGCCTTACTGGCTTTT